GTCACCCCCAGCAGCAGCAGCAGCAGCTGCTGCTGCTGCTGCTGCAGATAGGCTCGAAATACTCCTTTCTGGTGTACGTACACCTGGGGGAGCCTGGGGGCCCTGTAAGAGGTAACGTCTGCATGCAGAAGGGCCCCCAATGGTGCCAGCTGCAGCTGCCGAGAGAGCTTGCTGCTGCTGTTGCTGCTGCTGCTGCTGCTGCCGCCGCTGCTGCAGTGAGGTTTGTCTGTTTCTATGAGCCGTCACTTCTGCTGCGCGCAGCGGCTGGCCTGGGGCCCCCAGGGGCCCCAAGGGGGCCCCCAGGGGACCCAAGGGGGCCCCCGAGAAAGAGAAAGGAGACAGAGAGGAGCGGCAGGAGGAGACACAAAAAGCAGGGGGGGAGTGCAGGGCTGTACACCCCACAGGGACAGCCAGCAGCAGCAGCACCATCAGTACAAACTGCAGCAACAGCAGCAAGAGCTGCTGCTGCTGCTGCTGCTGCTGCTGCTGCAGTTGCAGCTGCAGTGAAGGTAGTTTGGCTCTATGATGCATCATTTCTGCTGCACACAGCAGCTGGCCTGGGGCCCCCAGGGGCCCCCCTCTAGCCGTGAAGTGTGAGTTGTGGTTTGGGGCTGCATGCATGTATAGGAATTCATTTGCATGCGGACTGCCAATAGAGAAACCCGGAGAAAGAACAGGAGAGAAGGCCCAGGGGCCCCCAGCCTCAGCTGTACGTACACCCCGAGGTGTACGTACACCTTGGGGTGTACGTACACCCCAAAGGCAGCTCAACAGAGAGGCTCAGCAGCACGAGCGGGCCCCCGAGGCCCCACATGCTGGGGGCTATAAGCCGGAATTTCGTTTCAGTATGAAGGTAAATCAACTAAAAATATTATTAATAAATAATATTTAATTCTTTAAAAAGAAAAAAAGGATCTGAACAAGGGGAGATGAGCCCCAGCTGCTGCTGAGGCCTTGTGGTGGGGGCCCCCTAGCTGCAGCAGGGGGCCCCCCAAGGCACTGGCAGTGCTGACGAGGGAACTGCTGCTGTTGTGCAGACGTATTGAGTTAATTATATTTATAAAAATTTGTATTAAATTAAATTATTAAATTAAATAAAATAATTTTAATTAAAATTATAAACAAAATGCAGCAGTGAGCCTCCTGTGTTGCTGCTGCCTGGCGGCGGCGGCGGCTGTGTCACCCCGTCGGCTGCGGTGCAGCTGCGGTGTATGCGTGTTGTATGTTGCACGAATTTCTCTTTGTATTATAAAAAGAATTAATAAATATAAAATAAATAAGTTTTTTTGACTTTATATTGGCTATTTACTCTCTAGAGAAGGTAATAAAGGACATATAAAACAAACAAACACACAAAATATACATAAACCATCACCACCGTGCAGCAGAGCCGACGACACCCATATACCCTAAATACAAACAAATAGAGAAAAAAAAAAGAGAAACAGCAGCAACAGCAGCAGTAAACAAATTATTTTCTGAATTTATTTAATTTAATATATTATATTAACAACAAATAATATTCATTTCGGCCGGTGTGCTCGCGGTGGTGTGCGGTGTATGTACACCCCAACTATGCCACACAGCCCCGTCGCCTCACCCCCCCCCCTGCCCCCCGCTGCATGCGCCTGGAGGCGGCTCTCTCCTGCTGCTGAGGCGGGAGCTGCTGCTGCTCCCAGCAGCCTGCTGGAGGGGTGGCTGCAGCAGCAGCAGCAGCAGCAGCAGCAGCAGCAGCAGCGGCAGCAGCAGCAGCAAACCAACGCCGCTGCAACAAGACCTCAGCAAGCACAGCATACAAACAAACACCACAAACACAACCCCCTCCTTCTACATGCTGCAGCAGCAGCACACGACGCACCAATAAGCCTAAACCCGCTTCTTTCCTCTGCAGCAACACCAGCAGCCGCAGCAGCAGCAGCAGCAGCAGCAAACGACGCCGCAGGCTTATCGTCGACAGACCCTCAGCAAGACAGCACTCCAGCAGCAGCAGCAGCAGCAGCAGCAGCTCCTGCTGCTGCTGCTGCTGCTGCAGGGCTTGATGTTGGGAGGAAGTTGCAGCTGTTTGTTGCTGCAGTGCGCCTGCGCAAGAAACGCCAAGAATATGATAGAAAACGCAGACAAAGTCTCCTCGCACTCTTACAGCAGCAGCAGCAGCAGCAGCAACAGCAGCAGCAGCAGCAGCAGCAGCAGGAGCAGGAACAGCAGCAAGAGGGAGCAGGTGGTGCTTCACCTGGGGGCGCTGAGGGGCCCCTGGTTGGGCCTCAGGGGAGCGATGCCCCGCAGCAGCAGCAGCAGCAGCAGCAGCAGCAGAGACGCACCTCAACAGGCGCACCAGCTCGCCGCAAATCATACCGGTGGAAATGGGGTAAGGCTAAAACAGCAGCAGCAGCAGCAGCAGCAGCAGCAGCAGCAGCAGCAGCAGCAGCAGCAGCAACAGCAGCAG